CATCTCACTTTTTCATACCATAAACACTTCCATATTTTCTGCTTCCTACAAAGGATTTCCAATTGCCATTCAATAACTCATGTCCACAACAACTTTGAGATACGCCCTTATTTACCAACATGGGGAAGCTAGTACACAGCTAACCAGGATGTAACTTTCCAGCCCACTAGGTTCTCTGAACTAGTTCCTAAATAGATATTCATAATTTATTAGCCTATCAGTTCAATGTTAAAGTAGTTTAAAGCAGCTCAATGCACTTTCTAAACGGAGCAAGTTGCATTGCCCAGGCTCTTACAACGCTGCCGGTAACATCAGCAGTGATCGGTCACACAGATGAGGGACCCAGCGGGGCTCTGGACAGACCATTTCAAGTGGTGCCTGCTATGGGTTTACCAATTTTGGGAAACCTCTCCTGAGCTGCAAGAGGCCAGGCTGCTGTATGGCACTGGCAGGTGCCAGCAGAAGACACTAGCAGTTCTTTTCTAGAGCATCAGTCTGGATGGTGCCTGGTAGAAGCACAGATCTGATCCTACTGTGCACTCTAGGGCTCAGAAAAGGCAAGCTGAAACACATTCAAACAGAGCCACTACACTGCCCGTAGCCTGACTGCACCCAGGTCTTCCATTTTCCTCTATAGAAGGCAAAAAATGGATACTTATTTTTTTGGACCATGCCAAACCTTAAATCAGTCATTTGACCTCAGCATTAGCCCTGCAACCAAATGCCAGGTACATACAGCATTTGTCACTTGCTCTTTCCCCTTCAGGCTTGGTGCCAGAGTTTTTGATGTGATATACTGGCCCCAAAGAGGGCTCAATAATCCCTGAACAATGGAGAAGGGCTGCTTGCAAAAAAATTGGTTTAAGCAGCTCAATGAGACCCTGCAAGCTGTCTTGCCGTGTAACCAGCAGAGAGATGCCAAGCCACTTAAAGACAATCTTTCTTGCTGAAACCCTGACATTTGCCAATGGATAAGATCATATTTATAAGGCTTTTCAGCATACATAAGATGAGATGTGACAAAGGGCAGAGATAGCTAAGCTTTAGAGACACAAGCTTTTCCAAATTATCTGGATTTAACCAACTACTTTGTAGAGTCATTGCTACTTTGCTGACAAAAGACCGTGTAGACCTGTGAACTAAAAACCACCTTTCTCATGATATTCATAGTACTGAGAAGCTTCTGGTCCAGTGGCTTTTACTTTGAAAGATAATTCTATTTGCTGACACCTGACAAGTTTTCCAATAAAAATATAAAGGTCACATATACACAAGAAATTATAACAGAGATGATAACAGATACATTTAGATCAGATCAAAGACACCTTTTACTACCCATAGATGAGGCCTGACAATAATTATCAACAGAAAAAAACACAATTGACACCCTACAAAGCAATAACAATTTGCCTTTTCAATTTATTATTCCCTCATTGCACATGTAATGCTAAAATAAGATTACTTGTGTGCACAGATGGAAAAACAAAAGGTGGAACAAGGCCCACATTTAGCCATGTCCTGATGAGCATCCTGGACATATCAATGCTTTACCAAAAAGTGCCTCCTATTACCTCTGCAGTTTGTGACATGAGACAAAGCAAGAAAGGCCATAAGAAATTTTAACTTCTGATTTTTGCAAAGCTTGAAGAGATAGTTTCTGCAAACATCTGGGATGAGCATAAAAAGCTATCTCAAATTGGACCACAGAGTGAGGGGAAGTAAGAAATACAAAGACATGTACTTCAGCATGCCCATTTTTTCTGTTTTAAATACGTAATAAATGCTTATGTAAATATAAATGATCTTTAAAGAAGCAGGCAGCTTAAAATAGTCAAGAGCAGGGAAATTAAGGCACATGAGATCTAAACAATTTAATAGGCAATAATAGCTGAATCAGTATGCAACAAGATCTTGTAATGCATTAAAAAGTGACAATTCTTGGTAGTATAAGTGATAGTTTAGAAGATGCCTTAATCAAGAAAGAAAAATTATTTACTGAACTTCTCAAATGTCAAATTAAGCTTCTTCACTAAATGTTCATTAACTGCCAAGAAAATTCTTATTAATTTTAAAGCACTATGAATGCACTCACACAGAATGGCTTTATTTGATGCAAGCTTCGTTTCTTGCAAAGTGATGTCTCCCTTCCTCTGATGAAGTGATATTAGAAAAGATCTGAGTACCTCTTTTATCAGATCAGATTTTAAGACACGGGAGAGATCCTATCCCCCTGCTCAGACCAAAATACTAACCTGAGTGTCACATTACCAGGGCCTTAAAGTCTCCCTAACTTCCAGGGTGTTTTAACCACGCTTCACATTTCAGCTGTTTGAGATGGCAAGACCTTACACAAAATGTTTGCCAGCTCATCTCCCCAGTCTGAGGGTGGCATAAAACCACGTAACTCCCCATTCATACCAAATACACACTGAGTCACCAGCAATTCAGAAGTTAAAAAGCAGCAAATTGCACAAATGCTGGCTGCTCCCTTCCTCTTGTGATTGCCAGCTCTGATTCTGTTGATGAGCTAGGAACCTCCTTGAAACTCTGCTTAACACACTCAGTATTATGCCCCACGAGAAAACTGCTCACCTATTTTTTTTTTCTCCAAATATGGAATTTTCTGAGCCTTCTCCATGCCAAATCAACCTTGGAAAACTACCCTGATGCCAAATGTCTGAGGTATATATGAAGTGAAGATCCCTTTCTGCAGCTAGGAGTAGGAATTTACAACTTGGCCCCCTTTCATTAATGGGATTTTGCTGTCTTTTGTGTGAATGGAAGCATAGGAAAAAAAAAAGTCTTACTCATGCCTGCATAGTCATTAAGGCTTCTCTTATGGACAATGGTGATGTCTGAGAGAAATTAGGCTCAACTAGCAACCAGCAAGATGAAATTCAAGTGGTCACTTTCAGATACATTGAGGGGGTTTATAAAAGGAAAAAAAAATAAAGACCCAAAAACAAAAAACAAGGAAAAGGACCCAGAGTGTCACCCCTCAGAGCTCCCACTGTGCTCACCACAGCAGCTACTGCAAGTGTTAACTCTGCACATTCAAGTCTCCACTCCACTTTGACAGCTGCTCCAGCTGTGCAAAGCAAACACAATGCTAGTGCTGCAACAGGCAGCTGCCTTCAGTCTCTCTCCCAGATGCTTTCCAATAGGACTTTAAAAGATAAGAGCCCATAATATCAGTGAGAAGCTGCACTGATCAGCCCAGAAGGTCTAGTTTTAACAATGGACTCACATTTGCTTATGAAAAAAAATAAATATTTCAGCAGGCAGAAAAGTTGTAAAACCTCAAGAGCCACAGAGCTAAATTTCTACAATAACTTGACCTTATAGAGAAGGCTACAATGTAGCCTAACTTCATTCAGCATCTCACTTCAGAGAAGCTCATTGGCCAGATAGAACCTGGCAGATAACACAGCAAATCACCAAAGACAAAGGAAAGAGAGGTCTGTGCGAGTAAAGAATCCCTCATGAGAGGGAAAGTGCAAAGAAATAACAGATGCTACTCATGAATAAGGTAGAGAGACTGGAAAACTGCAGCAACAAGGGTAGAGATCACATTACCATTAGACACATTCTGGCTTACCAGCACAAGCCAACAGTTTTGGAAGGAAATTAGGAAGGAAATTAAGATTTTTGGTAGCATACAACAGGTGATATTTAAACAAGAACACTACTACCCAGCTAAACCACCAGGATCTCAGTCTTAGTGACTGCTGTAAGCGTACCTGTGTTGCTGTTTTGGCAGAGGATATAAAAATAAGCTGCATCTGAAGCAAATGACTTTGGGAGCTGCTGTCACTCCTACAGTACTGCCCCTGCTACTCACATAGTACAGCTGTCCTTACAGTGCAGCCTGAAACTACTACAGGCACCAGAACGTATTTACTACACACCAGAACCACCATGTTACTTTACAATGTTCATTCAATTTACATCAAATAAAGAAAAAGGGATCCACTGCTCTTCAAATATTAAGTTTCTGCAGTTTCCTTTCAAATATATGGTTCTGTTCAGAGATTTTTTTTTAACCAAATTAGTGCTAATAATTTGGATGACCCACAAATGTAAGAAGAGACTTCTCAAGCTGGTAATAAAAGATTTTTCACTGTTTCATCCATGTTTAGGGTAAAATATAAAAGAAACTTATTAGTGCTCTTTTTTGATGGTTTTCATAAAAGAGTCACAATTTGAGATAAATGAAGACATTGTTATCAAGGATATTGATCCTGTGGGAGAGGGGGAGAGCCATCTGCAAACACTTTTACTATTTTCTGACTCAGCAATCAGCTTCCATTCACAACGCTAAGGACTTCCTCATTTCTTAACCTTGCAAATTTTATTTCTGCACTTTCTAAGCTCCTCTGGCAGCTCATAGTTCATCCACAGTCCCAACTTTCATAAACATATGGTCAACTTTCACTTTTCATCAATGATGCAAGTCCTTCCTCTCCATGAGGACGAAGAAGTTGATAACACATTTAAAAAGCAGGATTAATTTCTCCCTTACTGAGACCTTTTGTTCCAACGTAAATCGCTATATTGCTATATATCACCACTGCCCTGGTGCCTGACGAAAAGAATTAAACATTTATATGAAAGGCGCCCCTCTTTAAAGACCACTTATTTCAACAAAAAACACTGCTCTGTTTTTATGACAACTGTTGCAAAGTCTGTACCTTATTAAGCCATCCTGGCTGTGCTACTGCTGCGCTGTAACAGAAGGAGGTTACGGGGAGATCCCACACCTGCGAACCGCCCCTGCCTCTTTCCCCTCTCCCCGAGGCCCCTCTCCTCGCCAAGCCCGGGGATACCCGAGATGGGGAGGCTGCGGGAGCTCCCGCAAGGCAAGGAAAGTGCTGAAAGCCCCGAGCGGGGCAGAGAGCGAGCCGCTTCCCTCCTGCCAGCCTTGTCCGAGCCCCCCCGCCCGCAGCCCGGCCGCAGCGGGGACAGAGGAGGGACAAGGCGGCTGTGTCCCCAGCCTTTACCCTCCATCTCGGCGTCGCGCTGGCACCGGAGAGGAGCGGGGGCCGCTCCCGCTGCGCCCTGGCCGCTGCCGCAGCCTCCGCGCCGCTATCAATACCCTCGGCACCGCCGGGCAGCTATAAATACCCTCGGCATCGCCCGGGCCTCTATAAATACCCTCGGCATCGCCCGGGCCTCTATAAATACCCTCGGCATAGCCCGGGCCGCTATCAATACCCCCGACACCGCCGGGCAGCCGTCCCTCCCGCGGGGTAGGGCGGCACGGCTGGCAGCCAGAGCCCGGGGCTGCCTTCGTTGCCAAATGCAGGGGTTGTGGATGTCGCTGCTTGTGATAACGCCCTTGTTTCGTGTATGAAAAGCCTGACCCGGTGCCTCGCAGCTGCCGCCGGGGCACCTTTCACAGAATCACAGAAAATTCTGAGCTGGAAGCATCCACAAGGATCAAGTCCAACCCTTACCCCTGCACAGGAGATCCCCAAGGATCACGCCATGTGTCCAGGAGCACTGTCCAAACGCTTCTTGAACCGTCAGGTGCTGTGACCACTTCCCTGGGGAGCCTGTTCCAGTGCCTGACCACCCTCTGGGTGAAGAACCTTTTTCTAATATCCAATCTAAACCACTCCTGACACAACCTCAGGCCATTCCCTCGGCTCCTGTCACTGTCACCACAGAGACGAGATCAGTGCCTGCCCCTCTGCTTCCCCCCACGAGTAAGCTGCAGACTGCAATGACTCTCATTCTACATCTCCAGACTGAACAGAACAAGTTTCAAGGGCTCTGGATGACTTGTGGCTGACATCCCTGTTCCGGTTCATTCCAGGACACTTGCCCTGTTCAGCACAACATAGGTTTTCTTAAATCCTCATCCCCCTATTTCCTCCTAATTACAGCCTCTTAAAATAAATTTCCTCCTAATTACTACCTTTTAAAAGGAAAAGCTAAACAAACTTTGTTTTTGTGTGCTGCTGTCACAGAGAGTTCTGGAAGTATCCAAAACTTAACTACCAATGCCCCCAAAATTTTATGACTTCCTTTAAAATTAAATTCTGACTAAAATTTGACAGAGATGTTTGGAAGTGGTGAAATATTTGAGTGTGAATTAAATATCTATTCACAATGGTATCTTAATTTTTCTTATTTGCAGGGAAGCAAGTTAGCCCTTTTGTAGCTTAACAGCAGATTCTACCAAGCCATTAATAACTTGTACAATTGGAAAAGGTAATTTTGTAGCCCAATAGATATCCTACATTGCAAAAGATAAGTATTTGAACCTCATTTTGATAGATAAAAAGGATTGGTATCACTAAATTAAGAGTTTGTAGTTGCTTGGGAACAAGCAATTGTGGTCTGGATGTATTCATCATGGGCAAATGAGAGACAGCCCCAATCAAAACTATGCATTTCTGCTGCTTCAAAGAGCTAATTTCCCCAACCTGAGAAAAACAATAGGGACAGCTGACAAGGAAAAACATACATAGTGTGAACATCAAAAGAGGGGCTCTCGCAAAGCCTCTATTTAATGGACACTAATCTGAACCACTACACAATCAGAGAGAGCAGTAACTTTATCGTAAAACCCCAAAGGTGGCAGTCAGAAAGCGAATGGAAGACAAAGAGAAATTATACAAATTACAGTTGCTATAAATTGCAAGTTACAATATCAGAAATCAATAATTTAATAGGCAAGAAAAAATACCCACGGTTGTGATAGCTAAAGACAAACAGGACTTTTAAAGCATGTTAGAAACAAAAAGAAAACCCAGTGATGAAGCTGGGCCATGTAATAGATGTAGTTCCTAAGTGGTTTTGTGCTGATGTGTAAAATGTAAACATGTTCTATAAGTACTTCTGTGTGACAAAAGAAACAATTAGATCTCAAGTATCTCAAGGGGATTATGAAGAACTGCTCCAACCTGCTAGTAATAAAGAAAGATAACAATCATGATTTGTGAAATTCTGAAGGGGTGTTAATCTTATACCAGTAGTCGAAAAATGAGCAAGTGCAATGAGAAGAAAATACAGGCCAACACTGGCACCCTAAATAATAAAGGGAGAAACATTTAATTTAAAAATATTTCAAAGTAATTAACAGAAATAATTCCAATCTGTTTTAGGAAGACCAGGTCTAATCAAACTTCTCTAAATTCATTCTTCAATTAGATTGCTTGTTAAGTCACATTTGTTTGGAACTGATGGTTCAGATTTTAAGTCTGAAAGAAAATGTGGTACCCCATGATATCATTAAAGCAGCTGTTGACTTGGCTAGGCCTTGCCTAAATGAGTGATGACAAAAAGCAACAAAATGTAAAGGAACCTTCATTGTATGGGCATGTTTCTCTGAAAATGACCCCAAGAGGAGAAAAATGGGAAAGGTACTAAGCAACCAAGTGAAGTAGTCTGAATTGAGTGGCGAACTGGACCTTGTAAAACAAACTACATCTACTATAGCTAAACCCCTGTAATAAGCTTGAAGGATTGTAGGTGTCGTGTACTGAGTGGGTGATGGCACTCGCTGGAAGCGATTTAGGGGCTGTAGTCACCAACTCTCTTAAACACTGACTGTGGTGTTGCTAAAAGGAAGGATTAACCTGCATCAAGGGAGTAGAAAATAGGGAACATAGTTTTCTCTCTGGATATATCACTGATGACACCAATCTTGCATACTGTGTTCCTGCCCATGTTTTGAAAAAAAAAAAAAAAGGTTGAAAAATAGTAGAGGGGGCAGATTAAGAGCTGAAAATGTGATTTGAGAGTTGAAGAAAAATGCTGCTAAGTGAGATGTAAAGAGCACAATCTGTTTATCGTATCAAAAAGATTGACTTGATTACAGCATATAAGTACCTTGATGCAGAAAAAAAATACTGTATTCTGAAGGGCTCTTTAATCTAGTGAAGAATGGCATAACAAGGAGCTGTGGTAGAAACTGAAGTCAGACAAATTCAAATGTAGCACAATTTTTTTCTTTTTAAGGTGACAACACATCACCGGAGCAGCTAATAAAGGAACCAATAAATTTTTAATGGTTTTATATCCCTCAACCAGGACAAGATGCCTTTCTGGAAGACAGGTTTTAGCCAAATGCAAGCTATTGCTACTGTTCTCACTGCTTGTACATGTGTGAAATTTAATGACACAGGATACAGAGATCAGACCATATGACTAAATGGTCCTCTGTGTCTTATTTAATTTTTTCTTCTTATGTTAAGTAATTATAAGAAGGGCTGGCTACTGGTGAGCATCTGCTCAAGATGATATTCTTTGTCAACTGACTGCAATCAGTCTGAAAAAAATGACTACCCTGAGTGTGTAGGATTCTAAATGATCGCAGTACATAAGACTTTCTTGGCAAGCAGCATATGAAATACCAAAAGACAATCAACATCAGTCACCTATTTTCATTTGGCAGTGCACTAGCTGACAAGATTTCAATTCATTTGTGTCAAAAAGGAGCTCAGAAGAGCTTAAGGAGAAGCTGAAGGAAAGGGCAGCAGTATGAATCCATTAAAAACACTGGCCATCAGACTTAGGTAACGTGATAATTAAAAACAAACTTTGAAATGCTGGCAGGCAAACCAAACAACTAATTCAATATGCAATATTACAGTGGTAAATATACATCAGTTTTAAATATTTATTAATTTATTGCCCAGTTTGTGCATAAATGAATCAAGTTACCTCACCTGAAGCTGTGATCCCCCATAATGAGCTGTGGTATGCAGTGAGAACTAAAAGGTTTGACACGAGTAATGCCTACGTCTCTGAAAGAAGTCAGGACCACACAACTAAATTGTGTTGCATGTAAACTATTGAGAACTGGATTAAAATATTAATGAATTAACATTCTTCTTAAATTGTTGTATTTGCCAGGATGTGAACTTGTATCTTCTCTCTGCTGCTTACCAAGCCGATACAGCAAAGTTACAACATATACTTGCTGATATTACAAAGCTGAAAGGTCTCAGTGGCCTTTCTGATCTTGTTACCTGTCCCCCTGCCTGAAGCTTATTCTCTGAGCACAAAACCTTTTCAACAAGCCAGGAACCTACTCTAAACTATGCAGAACCCCAATGCTGTAAACAAATAGTTAACACAGAAGATTAGAATAACAATTAATTCTTTACTGAAGGAAGAAAGAATTGTGTTGAAGAGGGAAAGTTTATTTTGGAGATAAGATGTAACTTTTTTTTCAAATCCACTGCTCTGAAATTCAGAGCAAGGGTGCTTTCCAAACAAAAAACTTAATTTTATCCAAAAGAGGCTCAAAGATTTTGTAATATCTAATACTGGTATGCAAACTGTAATACCATGTGATCGGTCCTGACTTTTACAAATTATTTAGAAAAATACCAGGGCCCTTAGATGGTCTTAAAGATTGAAGCTTCTAAAATTAGTGTATACTCTACAAATGTAACCTAGAAGGTGCATAAATTAGGGTTTCAGTTCTTCCTCTGTCTTTTCCCTGGAAGAAGCTATGGGCTCCATTTTTAGAATAAAAAATAATTGACAGCTACAAATGAAGAAAAAAAATTGCTACAGGATCCCTGAGCTTGTGAAAATCAGATCCAGATCCTGGGGCTTTAATAATTGAAGTGTCATGGTCACCTCCATTGGTGTCAACATCACCTATGGAACTCAAAGATTAGTAGTCTGGTGCAGGTAACTGAGACAGGGAAGAAAAAGCATTAAGGAGTTGAAGGGCATTCATTACCTTTGTGAAGCCTAGAGGAATAATGTTGCTGTGCTGGTGGAGGCCAACCAAAGGTGAAGACTGATCATTCCAAAAGTGAAGTGAAGAAGTAGTTAGGTTCTCAAGTTGCAGCATCTGATGTCTTCAAAGGAACAATATGGCATTAGATGGCTGGCTAAACACATTGTTCAGAACATCAAAGCAACAAAACATCAGCTGCCAAGGTGTGGTCCCTCAAGGCATCAGCAAAGACAACAAAGCCAGCAGGAATTTGTGAATACTGTATTTAAGCTGCAGTACAGGACACTTTCTGGGGATGATACTGTGTAAATCAGTGGTGAACAAATGTCATTCCCCTTGAGACACACATATGCCACA